ACCTGGGACAGGAGGTGGGGCTGGGGTGCCAGAGGCAGTCTGTGGCTGGTAGGCATTTACCTAGGCCGCTTCTAGCCAGCAGCTCTGCAGGACTCTGAGGCAGGCTCCCTGCCTGGCGCAGCCCCAGGCAGCTCAAAATGGCTAAGAGCTCCCTGTGGCTCTCTGCACTGGGTGGAAGGGTGGGCTTCACATGCTGACCCTGCCCCCAGCAAAATATAGCCCCCCCTCCCCCAGGACCTGGAGTAGAGAGCCATAGGCAGCAACTGGCCACTTAAAGCAGCTTGGGGCTTCTCTGTGCCTGAGTGTCCCACTGAGGCAGCCTGTGGGCCAGATCCACTGGCTTGGCTGGCTGAATCCAGTCTGTTCCTGGTCTAGCAAGTCTTGTGGGAGGGAGCTGTAACCTAGGAGAGAGTGCAGAGGGTTTGGATGGGTGACCTGGGACAGGAGGTGGGGCTGGGGTGCCAGAGGCAGTCTGTGGCTGGTAGGCATTTACCTAGGCCGCTTCTAGCCAGCAGCTCTGCAGGACTCTGAGGCAGGCTCCCTGCCTGGCGCAGCCCCAGGCAGCTCAAAATGGCTAAGAGCTCCCTGTGGCTCTCTGCACTGGGTGGAAGGGTGGGCTTCACATGCTGACCCTGCCCCCAGCAAAATATCTTAGCTCCCATTGGCTGGTTTATGCAAAGCCTCCCCTCCCCCAGGACCTGGAGTAGAGAGCCATAGGCAGCAACTGGCCACTTAAAGCAGCTTGGGGCTTCTCTGTGCCTGAGTGTCCCACTGAGGCAGCCTGTGGGCCAGATCCACTGGCTTTGGTGGGGGGAACCCAGCTCTGCTTGAAAACTGCAGACCAGGGAGACGGGGAGCAAAGCCTCGGAGGATGCCGGCAGCGGGACAACCGCGGCGCGTCTGGGCTGTCCCGCTGTCCGCGTGCTCCGCGGCAGACACCTGCAGGGGAGGGACCAGCACCAGAGGAGAGAGCCAGGGAGCAAAGCCTCTGAGGATGCCGGCAGCGGGACAACCGCGGCGCGTCTGAGCTGCCCCGCTGTCAGCGTGCTCCGCGGCAGACACCTGCAGGGGAGGGACCAGCACCAGAGGAGAGAGGCAGGGCAGGTCTGTAGAGAGAGGTATTAGGAGAGGGGATGAGGAGAGGTAGCTCACATGATCAGAGTGGAGCTACTGGAGGATTGGGCACAGGAGGGGAGAGAAGGGCTGGTGGAGGGGGGCAGGTCCCAGGAAGGCTGAGGGCAGTGAGAAGGGCAGGAGTCAGGACAGCAGAGGTGAGTGAGGGGTTGGGGGAGGGGTGGGCAGCAGGCACCAGGGGAGCTGATGGAGCAAGGGGAGGAGACAGGGCAGCAGAGGGGAAAGGTAGAGGTTTATAAGATACTTATTAATAACGTGGATGCCACAGTGGTGCATCCAAACAAGTCACAAACTCAGTTTTGGTGCATAACACAAAATTTACACAAGCCTCTCCGCTCCCAAGTTAATGTCACACACATTGGGGTAATGCAACTGCAGGATAGTTGCATGAGGGGAGCTTAGGGGGGGCAAACTAATCCCTATTGGTAGGAGGATGGTGGGAAAAGTCCTTGGGGGGGTCACATGACACCTTTTACTTCTGGTCATGTGTCCATCTTTCCAGGAGAGTATTACCTCCAGAGGTGTGGCCAATGGAGCTCAGGGGGGGTGGTTAACAGGGTCAGAGGTATGGCTAATGGGGGGCAAAGGAAATTTTTAAAAAATTCTTTGGGTGTACACCCTAATGAAATGTGCTGCGCACGCCTATGTTGCATGTGCTGCGTACTGCTGCACGACATGCAGCTTGGACTGCCTGAGTGACGCTTCCTCCCTCTCTCCTCCCCCACCACCCGGGGCACCTGGCTCCCCCACCCTTGCGAGTGAGAAGCGCAACACTCACCAAAGGAACCCTCACCGGCCTCTCCCTGGCCTCGGATGAAGCCTAGGAGACTTCCTGGCTGCTGGGCACTGGCTCCAGGTGCAGGGTGATAGTGCTGCTGCAGTTGTCACCCTCATCGTCAGACCCAGAGGGCAGGTCACCTGCCTCTTCTGCGTCAGGTGACCTGGTCACTGCAGGGCGCAGGCTGGTGTCCACTGTCACCGAGGGTCCTGGGACTGCTGTCTCACCAAAAATGGCGTGGAGGTGGTAGTAGTGGGGGCAGATGTTGGCTCCTGCCCCCTTGCTCTCGGTGGCCCAGACATAGCCCAGGCGCAGCTCCTGTTCAAGGGTCCAGGCCGGATGTCCCTGGTCCGAGAGCACCTGAGCCATGTGGCTGAAAATATCCATGTTGCGGCAATGGACCTGGGGGTTGTGGAGGGCTTCCTCCTCAGCCCACAGATCCAAAACGGCCTCCACCTCAGCCCGGGACCAGCAAGGGCCACATCGCTTGGTGCCCCTCCAGGCCTGCTGGGAACCCTGGGGCGGCTGCTGGGAGGAGGGTGCAGGCTCTCAGGGTACCTCTGGAGCAGACATCTGGGCTCCTGGGTGCAGTAGGGCAGAACTGCGTGCTGGAGCTGCTGGCTGAGCTGCTGCTGCCACGCAACGTCTGCAGGCTGTGTGTGGCTTGAAGGGTAGATCTGGCAACCAGGAAGTAAAGAGCTGTGAGTGTGGGTACAGAGTGTCCAAGCAGCCACTTGGGTTTTTTCCTGGGAGGCCAGTTCTTGCGCAAAAACTCTTGGCTGCCTCTTGTGCAAGAAGGCTTCTTCTTGATATGGAGCATCAGAGCTCTCGCGCAAGAAGCCCTGTTTTCTGATGCTGTGCTGTAAATTTACTTGCGCAAGAACGCGCGTGCTGTGTAGACACTCGGCACATATTTGTGCAAGAACAGCCATTCTTGCGCAAGAAGCCTGCAATGCGGACGTAGCCTACACGTTTTCTTGGCCAAAAATATACAAATTAAGGACTCAGTTGCATGAATTGTGATCTCATTTGCATATTTTCTGCTGATCCATTTTTGCACTAGGGTTTTTGAGGCATAAGGATCTTGAGGCATAAGGATCTTGCAGAAAAAGGGTTTTTTGCACAAAAAGAAAACATCTACACTGCTTGTTTTTGTGCAAAAATCCCAGCACAAAAATGGATCAGCACAAAATATGCAAATAAGATTGTGACACAAGATCTGACAAAGGCTTTCTGGAAATCTAAGTATACTATGTCCACTGGATCCCCTTTGTCCACAAGCTTATTGACCCCTCAAAGTACTCTAGGGCTATGTGCACACTACAAGTTTTCTTGGCAAAAAACTTATGCAAAAAATGTGTTCACTTTTTTCATTGTATTCCTTTGGTATATATGGTCATGCCAATTCTCTTCCAGAATATGATCTGAGGAAGTGGGTCTGGCCCACAAAGCTCATCACCTATTAAACCATCTTGTTAGTCTTTAAAGTGCTACATAGTTTTTCCTTTTGATTACTAAGATTTACTTTCCTTCTGGATGTATCCAAACTTTCACTTCCACAGCCTGCAACAGTGGTTAGATAAAGGAGTCATTGTTTTCATGTGCATTCTATGTCAGAAAGAAACTTCCCCATCTCCAGTAAAAGAAAGTTTGGAAGTTTTCAGAAGTGCCCCCCTCCCATGCATTTGCATTACGGAGTGCAATGAGCAAGAGAGGCTGCATCATTCCCTGACTGCCTGCTCTGTGTATTCCCGCAGGGCTTTTCCAAGCGGCACGGGCCTGGGCACCCGCCCCTCCGCTGCAGGTCCCAGTCCTGCCCCTGCTCGGGGATTACAGGGGGTCTGGTGCAGCAGCAGGAGAGGTCACCCAGCAGCCTGCATGCCCGCTGCATCCCACTTCTCCGCGGCGAAGGGAAGCGGAAAGCCCAGGGCCCTGCTTCTCACCGCTGAGAAGCCGCGCGCAGTGGGCTGGGAGAGGAGCAGGCAGGCGGGGCG